TCCATACTGAGAAAATAGGAAAAGACCTAACATATATACCTGCCAGCTAAGAACTGATACTCTTTACATTATTGATTAAAGAATGAAATAGAGCAATTATACTGTATAAAAATCTATAAAAATGTATTTAAAAAAAACTAAAATTTTACTTTTAATTAAATAATAAAAGTGTATATTTAAATTATCTTCTTCTATCTTGATCCCATCTTCATCATTTTATCTTCCATTCTGATCCCAACTTCATCAGAACGTTTCAAAAATATGTATTAAAAACTAAATAATTTTTCTCCATTTTTTAAATATTTATAACACATAAATTAAAAATTTTTTTAATTATTTTTACTTCATTCTCCATATATAAGCCTTCTAAGTAAGGTTATGTAAGGTTATAAGTGACAGGCCTACATATAAAGAAATTCGAAACAGGGGAATTTATTATGGTTAAAGTAAAATGAATATATTAAAAAGACACACCTGTTTTCTCACGGAAGAAATTGAGGAAAATAAAGAAAAAAATAATAATAATAAGAAAGAAAAATTTCCGAATCAGATCTGTACGACTTTATTATTCTGTTAAGAAGAATAGTGACACATCAGACCTTATAAGGTTGACACGTCACTGGGGAGTACACAGACTTTCTACTGTTTTACAGGGCGTGTTACACTCTCGCCTTAGACCACCTGGCGTCTGAAGGAGTTCACCTGTTACGCAATTTGACTCCATGTGTTAGCTTCCCACAGGTGCATCGTACCAACACCCTTTTTTCTATAATCAGGACTGTAATATTTGGCACAAAAACAAAAATTCTATATAAACTGGTGGAATTTTTGTATCGTGCCCTATAAACTATAAAGTTTCATGGTTTTGCAAGTGAAATATCGTAAAAATTCTGCCTAAAGATTTAAGTAAATCGCCCTTTTACTTAATAAAATTAAAACTAATTTCTATGCTCCTATACGAGTTAATTATGTACTAAATTTAATTTTACAATAATTTTAATTGCTTTATAATTAAAATAAAAGATAAAACTAATTGTAATTTATCCAAAATTACAGATTTTATGTATTCTTGTGAGAGGTTATTATACCAAAATTTTAGTACGTATAAAAACTATAAATTTAGTATATATGTATTAATTATAATTTATTATATTATGACGTCTCTTTAAAAAAAACAAAAAGAACNTGTTACTTATTTGTTTTTCTTAGCTCACTTCTTCATCATTTATCAGAGAAGATTGGTATTTTATAATTAATCATTTATTTTATATTAAAAAAATGAAGATATTGAAGAATCCTTTGTATCATTTTGATGCTCCAATAGGCGTATACGCGTTTAATATTTAGAGAAGTTAAAACTTGATAAACTTATATAAAAATAAAAATAAATATATTAAAGATCAAGTTTTTTATCAATTTATTTTATTTTATTCGAGAAATATTTTCTTATCATAAGAATTTTCTGGTGGAAAATGTTCTACCATAACCGTTTATGCAACCATGTTGTGGAGGAAACAACCTTAAAAATGTGGCCACAACTATGTTGTGGTAACATTTTAGACATTTTTTTTTTTATCTCTACGCTTTAAAAATGTTGTAATAATGCTAAAAATTGTAAGAAAACATAGATAAAATTATAACTTTTAGAATTATTCATAGACATAAGAACATACGAATTTGTTAGAGAACAACTTCAATTCGATTTTAAAGTATATAAGGCTCAAAATAATTAATAAATTTAAAGTAAATACTACATTTTAAACATTATAAATCTGTAAAATTGTTTGTATTATTAATTATTAATACATTTACAAAGTAATTAAAAGAAACGGGGGATGAAGTTATTTCATTGTGTTCAACGAAGAAATGTTTTTGTTTATGCATCATTAATGCAATTAACGATTAAAATAAGCATTTAAACATAATTTATTTTTATTTAGAAAGATATAAGAGGATTATATTATTTTAAAAATGCCATATGTTGAGTGTATTTCTTTTTTGATTATTTAAAAAAAGGAGATGATGTTATACGAAGGACGAAACCCAATTTCAGTTCTTACAGATCGTATACTCTTCTATTTTTATTTATAGAAAGCTTTCTTTCTAGTTTGTCCTTATGTAAAATATTTTTCTAGAAAAGTATTGCTTCTTTTTTCTACATAACACATTCACAAATTCAGCACGAACAAAATATGTCCATAATATATAAATATAAAGAATAATAAAATTCGGAACCGTCTATTTAATTCCTACTTGAAATTCACTCGATACTTCTAAAAATATTTCGAAGTATACTGTGTATATGTTAGAATATAAGAATATAATACTTTTCTCCGAATTATTTTTATTTTTGTTTTCTCCCTGTTATCAATTAAATAATGTTTTAATATTAATAATATATTCCTATGAAAGAAGAGTGATATTTATAAGTAACATTATCTTTTAATAACCTTTAAAATATTACTGTTTAATACTACTTTTACATTATTTTTATTATTACTATGTTGATTTATATATAAAAATATGGATCTTATGCTTTAAAATATGCTTGAAACTATGCTATTACACCCCAAGAATCCATTTCTATACGTTATAAAACCTTCAAATTACAAGTTTAAACGTTCTTCAACACTTCAAATAGTATGTACTTACAGTAAAATTGCATTTTTATACGTAATTTATATACAGTAAAGCGCGATTACTGTATACAATTTGCTTTATATAAAAACATACATATGAAGCATATAGTGTTTTAAAAAATGCAGTTTTTATTCACGTTAACGATATAAAAACGCAATTATGCAATATAGAAATTTATAATTATAAAATAAAGCGTATATACCAGTTAATAATAATCCATTAATTAGTATAAAAGAAGAATTTAAAACGTTTAACAACGTTAGTAATATTATTAAATAACCGTGTTATTAACTTAACATAGTACATGATATCATCTATTTTGTATTGTTTGACTTCTTTCACACGCTAAATTGTTCCGTGACTTACTGGTACTTGCACCTGACCTTCTTGCCTAATTGCCATGACATAGAACAACTTTGTGCTATATCTGACCACGTTTTTACTAACTCAACCTTGGCTATTAAAGTAACAATTCTAAGAAACGGTTGGACAATCAAACGATAGTGAAATCTATACAATAACAATAATAACTTTCTACTTTCACTTACGCAATAATACTTAAGGTGTGACGTAATTTTCTTTTTATCGAATGGATTAAAAATCTGTTACTACAGTAACAGAAATTCGATTTTAATGCGTAACGAATCGATAAGGTGACGGGATACGTTTCTAGGAAGCTGTAGATACCGATCAGATTTAATTTCTTCAAGAGAAAATTTTTACAGAAACCTTTCATTAAATGTTAGTAACCATTAAAAGACAATATGTTTCGAATTTTTCTACAATAATCACTTACATTAACAAAACAGTAGGCAAGCAATAACATGAGGTAATGGTTGAGAAATTATGTTAATGATAAGTCAGTGGTTAGTAATGTTGCTAGAAATGTACCATAACTATAGAACAAAAACCTTTATACGTAATTTTCCGAAGTGTATAATGAAAATGCTTGCGATAAATGTAAGTTTGCGTGCTAAACTGATCTGCTTAAAATGTACAAAATATGAGACATCGTTCGTGACTCTAGACCTGATATTAGCCATCTCACTACGGGGTAAGTTTGATTCTCATACTTTCTACCAGAGACTATGATGCAAGAACACGTTATTTTCGCAGTGTTGAGACTAGTAATTTCGTATGAAACGTAAGGTAACAGTCAAAACGACCGAGTCTCCGCCTGTCAAAGTACAACTCATTGTTCCTTACTGAGCCGCAGGCTTTCTTCTTTCTACTGATAGGAAATGAGAAGAAAAAAGAAATATATATATATATTAAAAAAACGGGGTAGAGATGTTTCTCTAGCAATGGATAGTAATTATGCACTTTCGCCACATTTCTATTCGGCTACCATCATTTTTTTTATGTATAACATTTATATATAACTGTCATACCTTGCGGAAGCTCAAAGATAGCACCCAAAGAAAAATGTAAATATTTTCTAGAAATAGTAGAGCCTGAAGCTAAGATAGCAATGGTCTTGTCTTCTGTGTCTTCGTATATAATTTGCATAATCTAGAAATGAGATGGGAGGAGGCCTTTGTGAAATTTTTATGTCCTCATACAGTATTCTACTTATCATATACATCCCAAATTCCTGTCGAGTTTTGTAAAAAAAACTAGTAATTTTTTTTTCAAATTTTATTACTTTATTAACACGGTTAATTAAGTAGGAAAAAAAATCAATTTTATGCACTTTAGTCTGTTACTTATTTGTTTTTCTTAGCTCACTTCTTCATCATTTATCAGAGAAGATTGGTATTTTATAATTAATCATTTATTTTATATTAAAAAAATGAAGATATTGAAGAATCCTTTGTATCATTTTGATGCTCCAATAGGCGTATACGCGTTTAGATAAGGTAAATTGCTAGGATCAAAGACACTTTAAGGTTATTAGAAAGCTATTATAAGTTATAATAGAATCATTTAGAGAAAATTCTCTTAAATAACTAGGAACTGTATAATATTGAAGAATATATTAGCATAAATGAATATTTTGTCGAATGTAAAAAAAGCGACTTTACATCTTTATGAATATATTGTCGATTCTAAAGATTATTATCCAATTCTGATGCGTTGAATTGAAATTTTTTTTGTAGACGTTCTCGCGTGAAATCTTTTCAATTTTTCATATTTTGCATAAATAAAAAAATATAAAAAAAATTTCTACACCATAAATTTCTATATATTATTTTATTTAAAATGCATATTTTACTTCGTAAAAAGTTCTTACGTTAAGTGCGCGTTATACACCGATTACAAGCATATTTTACAAATAATTTCAAACTATATTAATATATAAGTTATTTTTTTAAAAAATTATAATTAAATACATTTATTTTTTTAATATTTTCCTATAGGAAAAACCTCACAAATGCAGTCTGTGCTCTAAATCATTTCCTACTCCAGGAGATCTTAAAAGTCATATGTATGTTCACAATGGTTCTTGGCCTTACAAATGTCATATTTGCAATCGAGGATTCAGTAAACAGACAAATCTCAAAAATCACTTGTTCCTTCATACAGGTACGTTTTTAAATTATTAATTAAGAAAATAAAATTAAATTAAAAAATCATTTATATTTTTTTAAAAAAAATTAGCTTTTACAGTAAGTCTTTTAGAGAAAAAAAACTATTCTATTTTATCATAATTAGCTGGGGTTATACACTAATTATAAAATATTGATCTTCAAGTCATCCTCTAAATTAAAAAAAAATAATAATAATAAAATATATTTTT